ATGGGAAGGACAAATTACTTTAATCAGATGTTAATCAGATGAATTTTTCGTCAGGTCACATAACAAATCAAAACATTGTGGGAGAAATTTGATACAGCTATTAGCAACGTTAGATCTGTGATCAGTTATCGAATATTTTGTGTAGGAAATTTCGAATTCAACATTTCATTTTAACTTCAATATTTTGGAACAAATGTTTTAAATCAAATTCATTAAAGTTATTCTATATCGACTGTAAGTGTGGGTTCATTCAAAGTTTCTCAATACTTATGTTGATCGACAAGCCATGAAATAAGTGAAGAATGGGGCTAGACACAGTATCTTCTCAGTCGTAGAAAGATGCGTTTTCTAGCTTACATATTTTTACATACTGCAACAATGTTTGAGAAGTGAATAAGTGAGTTTTACACAGAATGCACCCTGATTGCTGCTTTGCTTTAATAATAATAATAATGATTATTACTGTTATTATGAATATTAGTTTTATAATAATGATTATAATAATAATTGTTATTATTGTCATTATGATTATTATTGTTATTCTCATTATTATTTTAATTATTATTATCATTATTATTATTACCATCGTTATTACTATTATTATTGTAATAATAATACTAAAAGTGATAATAGTTATTATTATCACGTAATATTTATACTAATTATATAGTTATGTAAAGTTACAATAATGCTAATAATGATGATAATAATAATAATAATAACCAAAAAATAATGATAATAATTATAAAGATAATGGCTAATAATGATGATAACAATAACGTTAATAATTAATGACATTAATGATAATTACAGAAATGATAATCATAACAATTACAGTGATGATAAAGATAAGTTAATAAAAGCAAAATGATAATAATTAAAATAATTATGGTAATAAGGCTAATAATGATAGTAATGATAATAATGATAATAAAATAATAGTAATACTGATAATAATAATAATGATTATAATACTGATAATAATAATAATGATTATAATACTGATAATAATAATAA